CTGCTGCTGCTGCTGCTGCTGCTGCAGGGGGCTGCTGCACCCGGACCCGCAGCAGCGTTTGTCTGTGTCTGCTGCTCTCTCTCATCCTTGGCTGTCTCCTGTCTCCTCTTTCTCTCAATACAAACAAAAGGAGACAGATACCTGAATCTATAAAATATAAATAAATAAATAAATAAATAAATATAAAAATAAATAAATAAATAAATAAATAAATATATTTGTATATAGTAATGCAAGAACGTCAGCTTGCTGCAGTGTGCGTGCAGCAGCAGCAGCAGCAGCAGCAGCAGCAGCAAAAGCTGCTGCTGCTGCTGATCCTGCTGCTGTCTCATTTGCTGCAGCATGCATGCAGCTGCTGCTTCTGCTGCTTCTCTTGTCTCCCTTGCTGCAGCATGCTGGCAGCAGCAGCAGCAGCTGCTGCTGCTGCTGCTGCTGCTTGCTAACCCTCTTATTCGTTTATTCTGCTGCAAGCAGCAGCTGCAGCAATTCCGCATAAACGGCTAGCTAGCTAGCTAGCTAGCTAGCTATCTAGATAGATAGATAGCTAGCTAGCTAGCTACTTATCTATCTATCTATCTAGCTAGCTAGCTAGCTAGCTATCTAGCTAGCTAGCTAGCTAGCTAGAGATTTGTCTTTTTTGTGAAATATTATAATATGTATTTTTTATCATCAGATTGCTGCCGAAGAGAAAGAAGACTGCAGCAGCAGAAACAGCAGCAGCAGCAGCAGCAGCAGCAGCAGGAGAAGCAGCAGCAGGAACAAAAACAGCAGAAGCAGCAGCAGCAACAGCAGCAAGTTGCTGCATGAACTGAACGCTGATTCATTAAAAAAATGCCTACAATATCATTTTAGTCGAGGGTTTAGGGTTTAGGGTTTAGAGTCTAGGGTTTAGGGTTTAGGGTTTACAGTCTAGGGTTTAGGGTTTAGAGTCTAGGGTTTAGGGTTTAGAGTCTAGGGTTTAGGGTTTAGGGTTAGTTTGCTGCTCTCAAGCCAAAGCAGCAGCAGCAGCAGCAGCAGCAGCAGCAGCAGCAACAGCAACAACCAGCACCAACAAGCAGCTGCAACGAGCAGCAGCAGCAGCAGCATCAGCAACAGCAGCAGCAACGGCTCTGTGTCTTCTCGTTTGAGGGACCCTAAAGGAAATACAAAACCCTAAACCCTAAACCCTAAACCCTAAACCCTAGAACCTAAACCCTAAACCCTAAACCCTAAACACTAAAGAAAAAACACTAAACACTAACTACTACATCCTAAACCCTAGACCATAAACCCTAATAATCCTTAAACCCTAAACCCTAAACCCTAAACCCTAAACCCTAAACCCTAAACCCTAAACCCCAGTTGATGGGTTGCGTTGTGTGTGTTGTCTTTTATAAATATTTTATAAAAATATAAATTAAAATAATACATTTCCATCATAAGAGCAGCGAAATTCCTGCTGCTGCTGCTGCAGCAGCAAAGGTGACCTTGAAGGCCTTCACAGCAGCAGCTACAGATGGATACAA